CTCAAAAAAAAAAAAAAAAAAAAAAAAAAAAAAAAAAAAAAAAAAAAAAAAGCAAAAGAAAAATTGAGTCATGAACTAAAATGGCCACATGCACTACTGTCATGAATTTCTGTCTACACATTATAGAAACAATGAGACTCTTAGCTCTTGATTAGCTTATAAAGTTCCTAATTAAACAGAAATGGGAAAATACATTTACTTTTGTTTATTTATAAGCAAACAGCTTTTGATGATAAAGCTAAGTACTTTTTTGGCATGCACTGCATGATCTTTATAAACCTAGGCTTACCATCTACTGCCATAAAGAACTGGGATTGACTGTTTTTACAAACTCTCCAGAATTAACATATTTAATAATGGAGGGTTTCCCTCTTCAAGACAGGAGAATTCATCAAATAATTGTACCACTGAAATGACACAATTGAAACTTTTTTGGGGGGACAGGATGCTCTTGAGGTGTATGAAGGAGGTTGAACTTTATAATCAGCCAAGTCATCTGGGGCAAAACTGATGATTAAGAGAGAAGCCTGGCCAGGTGCGGTGGTTCATGCCTGTAATTCCAGCACTGTGGGAGGCTGAGGTGGGTGGATCACCTGAGGTTAGGAGTTCAAGACCAGACTGGCCAACATGGTGAAACCCCATCTCTACTAAAAATACAAAACATTAGTGGAGCGTGGTGGCATGTGCCTGTAATCCCAGCTACTCTGGAGGCTGAGGCAGGAGAACCGCTTGAACCTGGAAGGCAGAGGTTGCAGTGAGCCAAGATTGCGCCAACGCACTCCAGCCTGTGTGACAGAGTGAAATTCCGTTCAAAAAAAAAGAGTGAAGCCTGAATGAAATTGGGCATGTCCCGACCCGTCCAGACCTCCTTGGTTACTTAACAAAGGGTGTCACTACCCACTAGCCTGACAACTGACTTTATAAAAATGTCTCTTTATAATTCAAACACACTTTGTTTCCTCTGCTTTCAGCATAATACAGTTTGGCTTCATCCCCACCCAAATCTCATCTTGGGTTGTAGTTAACATAATCCCCCACCTGTCATGGGAGGGACCCAGTGGGAGGTAATTGAATCATGGGGGCAGTTACCCTCATGCTGTTCTCATGATAGTGAGTGAGTTCTCATGAGATCTGATGGTTTTATAAGGGGCTTTCCCTCCCCTTTATTCTTCACTTCTCTTTGCCGCTGCCATGTGAAGAAGGACATGTTTGCTTCCCCTTCTGCCGTGATTGTGAGTTTCCTGAGGCCCTCCCAGCCATGCTGAACTGAGTCAATTAAACCTCTTTCCTTTATAAATTACTCAGTCTTGGGTATGTCTTTATTAGCAGCATGACAATGGACACAACACAACCACACCTAATTCACCCCTAGTCAGGTCACTTCCAAACCTTCTGTTACATGTGCTCTGAATGAAAAGACCCTCTAAACAGGCTTTGTGTGAGAAGCAAGGCTGTTTATTCACCCGGGTGCAAGTGGGCGGAGTCCAAAAAGAGAGTCAGTGGAGGATGATGGGATAGGAGTTGGTTTTATAGGTTTGGGGTAGGCAGTGGAAAATTACAGAAGTTACAGTTCAGAGTAGTTTTTCAAGCTGGGAGGGGGCCATAGGGTCTGGTGTCACGAGGTTGGCCTATCAGTTGAGCAAGGTCAGTTACAAAGTTCAGTTGCCTTATCAGTTGAGGCAGGAATAAGGAACAATAGAAGAATGTCTCAAAGTTAATTAGGCACCACAGGGGTTGGCCATTCTCCTTTTGTGGTTTTCTAATTACTTCAGACTTTCTATTTGCAGGAACTCATCTGGAGGTGTACGTGCAGGTCACAGAGGTTACCACGCAGTCCATGGTGCAGTCAGTTGGCCTAAAAGACTTTACACCTTCCACCAGCTCCTTCTCACTGCACCATCTCCCTGCAATGACCTTTCTGGGCTCCCTCCATGCCCTCTATAACCTGTGGCAGAATCATCCTCTCACACACCAGGTCCTGCCACTCTCCTGCTGAGTAACCTCCCTGGCCCCCATCACCATTGCCAGCATCCAGACAAGTTCCATGACGCTCCTGCCATCTGGTCCACAGCTCCAGTGGACAGGTGAGGCTGGACCTCATAAGCTTTCTTCCAGTTCCTTAAACTTGCTAAGGTTTTGCCTTTCCAGAACTGTTGCAAACACTGCCCCCTTAGCCTGGGATCCTCTTCCTCTGCTGTGAAAATAGGTAATTTAAAATCTAGGTGGGATGCAGTGGCTCATACCTGTCATCTCAGTACTTTGGAAGGCCAAGGCGGAAGGATTGCTTGAGCCCAGGAGTTTGAGACCAGCCTGGGCAACATGGGGAGACCCCATCCTAAAAAAAAACAAAAAAAACTAAGCTGTTGGAATTTTAAAATATTTTGAGCCTTAAGGGAATGTGATTATGGGACAGTAATCAGGCA